AGCAAAAAGAATTAGGAGAACGCGAGAAAGACACGTACACCCTAACACACACACAGTTCAGTGTAAACTGTCGCAATTCTTTCCAGGAAGATGAGTGTCTCGCTCTCTGGGCTACTCACTAACTTCTCTTAAAATACATAAAACAATCCACATTCACAAATATTTAGCGGTATATTGAGCTGTAAAGATAGTTAGAGAACGTAAAGTCTGTATTTGAAAACCAATATGCGGTTATTGTTGGTAAAAACGCTTATTATAACTTTTCCTGAAAATGAGTATGGGAAAAGCTTATAATAATTGTTCTTCTTGATGGTATTGTAAAATATAATACACTTGACAACAAACCATTCTCTTCCTTTACCGCTTTCTTTCTAGCGCCCAGTTTGCGACTTACAATACTACGGATTTTTCGCTTTAAATTCTAAGTAGTTCCGCGGCATGAAATATTTGATATAATGTAATATGAGTAAAATTTTGTGTGAGAAGTTATTGGAATTGTGAAGTTTCCGGCGTGACGTCACAGCAGTCCGGTGTTGTGCTCATGGCGGCGGAGGAGCGATGGTATTTTACCAAGGAAGAATTAAACAATTCACCCAGCAGGAGATGTGGAATCGACGCAGAAAAAGAATTATCGTATCGACAGCAAGGTGCAAATTTGATTCAAGATATGGGCCAGCGGTTACAAGTGTATCCTTTTGTGATAAAGTTGTGTGGTGCATCTCGGCCTTGGCTAACACACGTCGTCATGTTAAGTACAATATTGATTTAATCCACGATTTTATGTGTGTATATAACATACAGTGAGAACGGCTAGGGTCCGTAGATAAGGTTGGGCACCATGAAAGGTTATTTTGGTGCGCGCGATGGCTTAAAAATGTGTATTTTATGCATCTCGACGTTGTCATGGCCGTGGCAGCCATGTTTGCTCACATGACCTCTTAAATATGAACTATTTAGCGTACAACGTAACCATAAGTGCCTATGGACTGTATGTAGCACTATGTCTTGCAGGTTATATGGCGTGACTTCTAGGTTTGGGTTTACTCGGTGCTTAAAGGCGTAATTAGTCTGTAATTTGATGGAACATGCATGGCATTCGACCTATGAATATAAAAACAAAACAAACAAACAAATAACTTTTATTTTAAAAATGTACGGAATTGTCACAAAATTAGACGATATTTCATTAATTCTTAGAAAAGCCCTGGTTATACAGAGCATCTCGAGTAGACTAACTCTAAAACTTAAAAATACTTCACATTAAGACACGTGCAGCACCTGGTTGTCTTTATTATGAGGATTTTTTTTTTTTTGTCATCCTGCGGCTCTTTCACTTCAATACAGAGCTTATGAACTGGGTAGCGTGGATGATAGGTAATCTGTCCCTCAACCTTGATAGATGTTTCCTGTTTCATAACCTGAATCAGTCTGAAGTAGAGGCAGGAGAATGGATGGTTATATACTGGAGCCAGAAGTGTGGTGCAACAGTTAAAGCATCGTTACATGTGAGTTGGGTTTACTAGTGGAAGTTGGTCATGCCCAAGAGTTAGGGCAAAGGTTATCAAGAAGAATGTGGAAGATATTCTTTATCAAAATTTCATGATGTTGTGTCAGACAAACATTATAATACTTGTACATACTGACTAGTGGATGAATAAGACATGTGCAGTGCCTGGGTATCTTTATTATGAAGACATTTTTTACCATCCAGTGGCTCTTTCAATTCATTGCAAAGATTATGAACTGGAGGATGAGGTAGTCAGTCCCTTAATCTTGATAGGCATTGTCTGTTTCAGCTTGGATCAGTTTGAAACATAAGTATTTGAACACTTAGGCCCGGTGGCCTGGTGGCTAAAGCTCTCGCTTCACACACGGAGGGCCCGGGTTTGATTCCCGGCGGGTGGAAACATTTCGACACGTTTCCTTACACCTGTTGTCCTGTTCACCTAGCAGCAAATAGGTACCTGGGTGTTAGTCGACTGGTGTGGGTCGCATCCTGGGGGGACAAGATTAAGGACCCCAATGGAAATAAGTTAGACAGTCCTCGATGACGCACTGACTTTCTTGGGTTATCCTGGGTGGCTAACCCTCCGGGGTTAAAAATCCGAACGAAATCTTATCTTATCTTACTGGACCCAGGCTACAGGACTGAAAAAAACCTTCTATGAAGGGCTGAAGGACTTATTATATATCTCATCTTACACTCTCCAGCTCAGTATAAGAACATATGAAAGGAGGAGCACTGCAACAGACCTACTGGCCCATTCTAGGCAGGTTCAATTGTCACCCACCCACACCCACTCATGTACTTGTCTAACATCTCTGTATTGAATTTGAAGTGCCACTGGATGGCAAAACATCTTCATAATAAAGATATCAAGGCATTGTATATATATCTTCATCTACTTGTCAGTGTTTTATATCAGTAATATAACATTTGCATGACACAACAGTGCAATGAATATTGGTACAAAGTATATCTTTCACAACCCTGTTGCTAACTTCAAACAATTCTTGGACATGACCTATATACTTTCACTACAAAATGTCCTGGAGTAACATAACATGCTTTAATTCAAGAGAATTTGAAATTTCTTTGGATGGTTGTATTGACAAGTTTCATTTTTGTTTTCCAGCTGGACCGTATTTGCAGATGCCTCAAGCATAGAATTTGTACATTTTCTCTCTTTCCTTTGGCTTAGTCTGTGAACTCTGAATTTCCAACTGATGTAATTTCTAGATCTGTAGCAGAGCCAGAACCAACATTAACAGCTTCAGCACAAACTCCAGAACTACTGCCAGCTCCACCAGTTCAAATACCAACACAAGTCCCAGAACCATAATCAGGGTCATCAGTATTAGCTCCAGAATCAGAATCACTAGCACTGGCCCCAAAATCAGAATCAGGATCACTAGAACTAGCATCACCAGTGCCAGTACTAGAAACTGCACCAGTACCTAGTTTAGAACCAGTACCAGAACCACCAGTACCTGCACTGGTTTCAGTACCAGGAGCATGATGTGAGAGCTGTCATCATCATCTTTACACTCATGCTCAGTATGGTTACTCATAACTGTTATCTGCTTCAGTTTAGTGGTATTGATCAGATTGATTTTGGTCTTTATGCCAGATTTTTGCAAGGTCAAGCAGACCAGACATGAATGACTTTATGTGATGTAAGAATGCTGGCCAGTGTGCCTGTTAATCTAATCTTTAAGAATTGCCCTTTTTTTTTTTTTTTTTTTTTTTTTTTTTTTTTTTTTTTTTTTCTTTTTCCAAATATCTTGTAGATAGTTTTTTTTTTTTTTTTTTTTTTTTTTTAAATTATTTTTGTCTCCATTAGCCAAACCAGTATGTTTCAAATGTGTCAAGTTCTGCATATCTAACATAATGCATGTATATTGCAGATGGCCCACCTGTCCACCACACAGCATGTCATTTTCTGCCCTGTTTTTTCATCGTTCATATAAGGTTAATTGAGGTTGGAGGTTCAATAGGTGTGGTGGATAGGTGGTTGAGTAACAGGTATGTATAGTGGAACAGTATGCAGCAGCAAGTGTATGATGTAGGAACATCCTTCCCATTATTGCTAAACTTATTTTGAGGATTTCTCCATTTGGAAGTGGTGCTAGTAGTGCCATATTTTATTTTTTCACTTTAATGAATGGGATTCACTGATATGACATAGCTATTAAGTTCTATTTACACTTCACACATCATCTGTATACTGCATACTACATGCAGTTTCTTCCTGTGGCAACACTAGAAATTTCACATGTAACAGTTCTGAGCTCACTGTTTCATCTGTGGCACTCAAAATAGTTTTCATTTTCCACTTTTAGGTATATTATCTAAACTCATGACTTGTTTGGTAACCAGTAGGGCTACTGTTCTGGAACACATGGTGCTTGCTTATGATTTTCATGTCTTGACTGAGTCCATTCTTATTCTCGTCTTCTATTTATCTGTCACTACTCTAGTTTGTAGTGATATGTTGAAAAGACTAATAGTTTGCTAACTTCTTCCTTAAATTTATTTAAAATGCTTGAGAACAGTACATCAGGGCCTGGGGATTTATTTGGTTTTAGTCTTTCTATTTGACTGAGAGCCATGTCACAAGTGACCTTTATACTCACTAACCATTGAAGTATATTCATTATGGAAAATAGAAAAGTGATTTCCTACCATCAGTTCTGCTCCTTTAACCTTCCTCAATTTGGTGTGTCTATACTGGCAACCACTTTCCACTTGTAACTGCTGCCAAACTGCTCCTCACTGGTGGTCCCCTTGAGGGAGGTTCCTAGATGCTGGCGAAGGGCTCTTGATCTAGGTAATTAGATCTGTTCTCCAGTTCCCAGAATTAAGCCTGAATACCTTCCAACTCTCCCCTCCTCCACATGTGCCATATAATCTTATGGGTTTAGTGCTCCCCTAGGATTATAATCCTCACTGGTGGTAACCTGATTCCCTTCACTAACTCCAAACACCTCACATTCATTGCTCTACTTCTGCAGGCAAATTTTCAGTTTCTTACTTTCCTCCTTGAGAAGTAAAACCACCACCTTCAGTACCTTGATCTCAGACTCTGAAACACTACAGAAGCAAGCCATGGTGCTCTATACAGTACCTACTAATCCCTCAAAACAGCTTAGGACAGTGAAGGTGCTAGGCCTGTTTATTAAACACTGAAGTTTTTACTTTAAGACTAGATTTTGTATTTTATACTACTACTGTGTTTCATTTGTTAGAAAAATGAATATCCATTTTAATACTTTTCATGTTACTGTAAATGACCTTATTTTATGGGCTATCACTCCATGGTTGCTTTTGTTGAAATACATACCTTTGTAAAAATCCACGTAGGCCACATCAACATTTTAGTTTTCTTCCTAAGCCTCTTGTGATTTAGTCCTAATTATCTAGTAGTTGTGATAGCATGATCTTCTCATTCTAAATTCATATAAACTTGGGTTGTTTAACTCAAATTTTCACATAAAACCGTGAGTTGGTATCTCAGTGCCCTTTCAAAGCTTTTTGTGATGTGTGATGTTAGTGCTGTTGGTCTGTAATTTTTTGCCACTGCTCTGCTGCCTTCATTGCAGAGAGGCTATGTCCACTTCTTAATCTAAGCTCCTTCAAAGAACACTGAGTACTCTTGCTAATGGTACTTTGCCTTATTTTTTATATATAAATACATACTGTACTCCAGGAATCAGACCTGGGTGCTGTGTGCATGAGCATGTTGTCTTTCTCTTTCTCGAAGTATGCAAAATTTTTTTTTGCTAATATCACAAATTATAATATGTAATTTGTGGTGTAGGCATTGTTTTGGAAAATAAGTTTTGTGTTTTCAACTCTTAATGGTATCACTGAAATTTATCTTATTTTAATGGTATCACTCAAATTTATCTTATTTTCCCAAGGCTTAACCTCATGGTGACAGGAACAAGGTACATATTGTCTAAATTAAGATACATACTATATGGTATTTAAGTAAGAGATAGCACTACATATTTACTTAATTATTTATATTGATTATAATGTGAATAGGTTCCTTAACTATGTCCCAGTAACCAACTAGCAATCAATACCGCCATCGTATATATGCATCGTTTCTACATGTTTCATCCCTTCACGCGTTTTCATCGTAATTCCATTGCACCCGCTGCCCTTTTTCTAGCTGCAAAAGTGGAAGAGCAGCCAAGAAAGTTGGAGCACGTTATTAAAGTCGCCTACCACTGTTTATTTCGTGACCAGCCTGCCTTGGACACTCAGTCAGAGGTTAGTGTAAAAAAAAAAATAACTTGTTTTTGAAATATCATTGTCTCAGCCAAATTAATGTAGATGCATCTATGTACAGTAGCTACTGCATATGATTTGTATCTATTTTACATTATTGATAGGATAATATCTTCAGGGCTATTTGGAACGTGCACAGGAATTGGTTGTGAATGAAAATATCTTGCTTCAAACTCTGGGCTTTGATGTTGCCATAGACCATCCTCATACGCACGTGGTCAAGTGTTGCCAGCTCGTCCGCGGTGAGTACACATAACAAAACTTCAAAGTATTTGCTGAAATGGAAGGACCTCCACCCCTTGTTGTTCCTGCAAAGACTGTAAACTTGTTTTGGAAATATTTCCATATTCCTATCATTCTTTTATTATTGTCCATTGAGTATTGTTTTGATGTGTTACTTGTACAAGTAATTGATGTACTGTATGTTGGAAGTCTGCCATGATGACCTCTTTATTTGTACTGTATGGTTAAATCTCAATGATCAGTAATTATTGTTCCTGTAACTCTCTCATATTTAGCAATACATCACCCCCTCCTCAGGCAAAATGACATCAGCCTGTCACATCTTATTCTTAGTAATAACTCTGTTATTTAGGTCATTTGGCTAATTTGTAGCATTAGTGCAATATTGTAGGAAAAGTACATCCTCCTGGTGACAAAGTAATTGCATAACATCACTCAGAAACCAGATGAATAACCCAGTTAGCTACAGCATTTCTTTAATTACTGTATATGCAGAACCTCGCTAATTTTCTCAGATATACATAATGTGGAATAACTTCAAATTAATAATTGTCATACTGGTCAGTTAACAGTTGATGTACATAATTATTGTTCCCTAGCTATAATGGCATTTAAGTAATTTTAGATATCCAGTATTCTTACATGATCTTACCAAAAATTATGCTGTTATTATTTCTGAAAAAAAAGTAGGTAAAAGAACACAAGTGCAACTAATGTGACATGTTATTGTGGCAACATTTCACTCTGCAGGAGCTTTGCCAATGGCTTGACAAAGCTCTAGGGGAGCAAAACATTGCCACAATAAAATGTCACATTAGCTGCACTTGTGTCCTTTTACCTTACATATTGTTGGTAATTCTACCAACATTATTACGAAGAAAAGGAGTTGCATTTTTTTTAAAGCACTGAAAATTTTAAAATATTTGGTTTGTTTCATGCACAAACTCATTCAGTTTGCTGTGGAGATTTTGGTCTGCAAAAAAGAGGTTTACTTAAACAAGTTAACTTTAGGCTGTTGACACATCCCCCCAGATTGAAATCCCCTTCCGTGTTAGCATATTTAATAAAAAAAAAGATTAAAAATTATCTTCTAATGTCATGGAAAATCTTCTCATAAGGTAATAACACCAAAAATACAAAATTTAATGTAATATATAATTATGCAGACATGAGGTTGGAGGCCTGGGGACACTACATACCTGATTTTATCCACTTTGAGGCCTATTTTAGGACATTTACAGTGCTCAGACATAATTCTTGCTTATTTCACTAGTATGCCTTCTATACTATCAATTGGTTGCAGCCAGAACTATCCCATTAAGCAATCATAAATTGGTAATTTGGCCAGTTTTACGTTTTTCAACAAATTACAATTTAAAGCAAAATCCAAAACAAATACTATAGGCATTCCAGCCAGTAAAGCAACCTTCCTTTGTTCATTAATCATGTCCACAGATATCTCCTATATAACATTTGCCCTCCATTTGAATCTGTCATCACAAAAAACAAATTGACTTTTTTTTCTCCATATTTCTTGGTTACTAATCCATAACCAAGAATGCTTGATCATGGTTTAGGCCTCAGTAATTGAAGCAGACATGGTAAAAACCCATGAAACAGACCAGAAGGGAAGTAAGGAGGCCCCTTCTCTTCCCCAGGAAAATCACCCGAAATTGACCACTCTCAGACCATGGCCTCAGACTGGGCCGTGGGGGCGTTGACCCCCAAAACCTTTTCCAGGTAAACTCCAGCCACTTTGAGATATATTTCAGGTCACTTCCCTTTTGAAACCAGACAAAATTTCTCCATTTCACTAGTCTGTTTATTAGCACCAAGACACAGCCTTAAAACCATGAAAACCACAGAAAATGCTCCAAAGATACCATTTTTTACTCTGAGAGAAGGACAGAGGTTAGCTGCTTCCGTCATGTACTGAGTGGGATAGGACTTTTTTTATACCACGTACTCACTACATAGATGCACTCTCTCATGTCTAGTCCAAAATTTGCTGCTCACAGCAAGTATAAGGGCACTATGAATTACATGTACTAGATCTGCGTGAGCAACACTGGACCCCTATCACATAACTGCTTGGCTGATGGTAAAAAGGTTAAAATTTGATCCCAGGCACCATATCATGTGGATTGTAAGAATTCATTTGCATCCATAATCACTCCTGCAATTTTGCTAGCTGGATGTCTTTTGCCCTTCGCTGAAAGTTACATACAATATCCAGTAGTAGACCCATTACTTGTAGGTTATCTCTTTGTCCCTTTCTATATTTCAAGACCAAAGGAACCCTAGCTTCTGTTAATGGGGTTTTGTTTGGCTACATTAGCATCATAGCAACATTTTGCATTTTCTAACATTTTTCTTCATCTCCATATGCAATTGAATGTTTTTTAAATTGTCAAATTTTTCTTTACTCATGCCTTTTACTTCTCTTGCTTCTTGTTAAGCAGAATTTTCTTGTTAAGAAAATCCTGTGAAATTCCACTCATGCATGCAAGTGTGCTTTCCTTACATGTTCGTCAAGCCAGCAAGTAGAATTCTTGTCATTTTTTGTTGTGATTATTGGATTTATCATCATTCTTTCTTTCTCATTTACTTATATAGTGAAACAAAATAAACAGTATGCCTAAGGAGGTTTGGACACTTTCATTTGTTTGCTCAATGTTTATTTTTTCAAAAAGCAGCTCCAGCATTAAAAAAAGATTAGAGAGGTTCTACCACAATATTTTTTGGGTGATTGTAGGAAGATACCTTGATCCATTTCTGTTTTGGAACATCAAGTTTCTTGCCAGCTTTGGAAGAAGGTGACATGTCTTTCAGCTAAAGTATAATTAAATTTAGCCATATTAAGAGTTTGTATATTAGTATTATTTTCTGAAGATTGGTCTTTCGTTAGGATATTATTTTATGATGCTTGATCATTTTGCTAGAGTAAAGCAAAAAGAATTGTCACTAATAATGTGTTAATTTTGCTAATACTATAATTGTAATCACCTTGGCTGCTCATAAATACCATTGCTGGAAGTCTAAGGTTGCTTAAGCAGTTTAGTGTTTTATACAGTATACACTGTTTGCAATACAGTCGAAACCCGGAATTCATGTGATTTGATTGTATAAAGTTTTTTTCTGAAGGAAATTTAGCAAAAAGTTGTGTTTATTAATGTTTTTTGTGGTGTACAGCTCTTTAATTGAAAACTAACTAGTATATGATTTCACTCAAAATGTGCTCATTTTGGCTGATGAATGTCAATTTTAAGCAAATTAGAGCAATATTTCAAGAAAGATTGCCCCCCCTTCCACCCCCCCCCCTCCCCCCCCCCCCCCAAAAAAAAAAAAAAAAAAAAAAAAACTTAAATACTGTAATTCAGACATGCAAAATTCAGTGTTGTCTGTGGCTTCAGGATTCACATCGCCTCCAGGAGCCTCATCCCTGTGAATTATGGGGTTCAACTGTATATTATTTTGTAATTTTAAAAAGAGATCATGTCAGCATTTTCTTATCTGCTTAATGCTGTACAGCATATTTATTTATTTATTTTTTTTTTTTTTTTTTTTTTTTTTTTTTTTTTTTTTTTTTTTTTGTCAATGTAACTTAAAGTCCTTACTCTCTCTCTTGGTTTTCAGTTGCTGCATTTGGCAAGTTTTGTGCTTCATGGAATCAGACTTTATTGTTCTAGAGGCATTATATTCACTTAATATTTTTTTTAATTTGAGTAATTAGTTCTTTTGTCTTATTTGTTAAATTATGAAAAGCAAAAATTAGGCAAACACTTGTAAACACATTCATTTAGAGTTTAGTGTAATTGTAAAAACATACTCACTGGGTACCTGAGATCATGGGTAGAATTTTCATTGTTTTATTTAGGTTAGCTTATTAGTGCCAGAAATAGTCATTGTTTGGTGATCAGTCACTTTATTTGAAATGCTGATAGCACAAAAATATAAATTTTCATTGTGACCCTATAAAGGCTTTGGAGCTGTAGTAAAATATATGCTGTATGTATATTGGAATACAGTTCTCATCATTAATGTTCAAGTTCAAATATTAGGAATTAGGCATGTCAAAAAATGAAACTTATAAATGTAGATCAAATAGTACCTACCAAGGTGCTCCTTTTCTTCATTCAAGGGGGTAGGGATGCCTTGCTGCGGGTGAAGGGCTCTTGATCTAAGGAATTGTAGTTAACCTCTCTAGATCAAACCTGATTACCTTCTATTTCCCAGGTGCTGTATGACCCCTACAGGTTTAGCACTTCCTTCACGAATATAATAATGATTAATAATCTGATTGTTAAAACTGTAACTTCATATTATTACCAGTCAAAAGCTACTACAGTGTATTATTGAAGTGAATAACTTGCCCTTCTCAGATGTATTTTATTTGTAAGTGGTTTTAAAATTAGTGCCAATATTACTCTGAATACAGGTATTACTTGATTTAAACAATATACAATATGTGTATATAATAAGGCTTATTGACACTATATATTTTGACCGTTTCTCAAGTTTCCTTCAATGTTCATGACAGTGCTATATTATATGTTGACTAGTGTCATTTCAAGGATGAGCTGCATTTTAAGGTGAATGTAGCTGAAGATGCTTGATGTGTTTTAGCTCACTTAATTTGTACTCAGGTTGAGATTTAATTAGTCGATGGTGGATGGGTGAACCTTAATTATGCATTGGTAGCAAAACTTTTGTCTAGGATATTTCTTTTCAAGGGTAAATACTTAAATATATTTTTTAAATCTTTTAATAAATTAGTTTTAATAAAATAGTTTGTTACAACTTAATATAATTAACAGCGTAGTTAAGATTCATCCAGAGAATTTGTAAAAGTAAGTATTCTGTTTTGTACTAAGAGTTTGTTATTTATTAAAATAATCAAGTTGATATTGTTAAATAATATTGTAATAGTACTTATGTTGTTACGTTTGGTGTCAGTGTTGCTATGTGCCATGATGAGATGAGAGGTGGGAAGCATTTGTAAGTACAGTACAGTATGCCTATTTAGATAAGTATGTGTAAAACTAATATTTAATCGTTGGCTGTTAAGCACATTTGGTAAGTAGAGAGTAAAGATCCTGGTCAAGTGATATAAGGCAAAGAGGGTAATGCAACATTGTTCTAAAAATGTTTGTCTTTTCTTTTCCCGGTGGTTGGCTGCCCTGGTGGGGCGGTCGGCTGCGGGTCACCCACTACCTGTGCTGTGGTGCTACTGTCCTGGCGTGCGCCCCAACAACAGCCACCAAAGATTTGGCCCAAACCTCGTATTTCATGGCTACTAGCAGGTTATTATCACTGGCTGACTGTTTGTCACTACTGCCAGTAGCAAGTTTCAGTGGGCTCCTCCTAAATTTAATAGCTGTCCAGTAACAAGATGGCAAACTACCAGCTAGGCTACTTTCCTGTCTACTGTCATTGACTCATTTATGATGTGCTACTATCAGTACCTGAGGCAACTCTACATCAGTCCTTTCATTATGTATTTCATTAGGTATTTCTTAGTGTGATGATTTCACCTGATTAATTAGGAATAGTGTACTGTGAGGTATAATTCAGTTAAAGATTGAGACACTTTTGCAACAAGTGTTCCAAACATGTCTCAGTCTTCAACTTATTGGTTTTCTAAACAATTTACATCACACAATCCAGTTAACATAGATTTGGTTAGAATTTCTCGCTGCAATTTTAGGTGTGGTTTGCGTGTTTGCTGGGTAGGGGTGTACAAAGTGTTGTTAAAAAATATATACATCTATAGCAAAAAAAAAAAAAAAAAAAATGAAGCCTCTTGAGGTGAAGCATCATAATAATAAAATGGCTTCTTTTTGCTATATGTCTTTTTTTTTAACTTGTTGGCTCACAACACCAGTGAAGTGCAATAGTGTTACTGTATTTACCTTGCCATTCAGTGGTTACCTTAATTCGTTAGATAATTGTGTAATCGTTGATTTTAAGAAAAATTGTCCTTGATATACCTGGTGTATATAACATTCCTTGCAAAGATTACAACCAGTCAAATGTATGAAAAATGGAAAGATGAGAGTGGCAATCATACCAGAATGCAGATTGTTTAACACTTTTAACAGACTTTTCCCTGACACTCTGGATATCATACTTTCCCTACCTGTTTCCCTCACTTGGGATCACTTTATACAAATTTGCTATTATGCAATTTTTTCTTCTAACAGTACAGTAATTCTGTATGTTTGATATACATTTGCTGTATGTGATTGGTACAGTTCCCAGAGTGGATTGAAGATCTTATTGTGTGCATTTAAAGTGTTGATAGCTAGATAGAGCTTAGCACAACTGCCATAGGCCCAGAACATGGACAATGATCCCTAAAGCTTTTATTTAAAAAGAAATGCAAAACATTGTGCCACTACTATGAGTATTTATGATGCTAGTAGTGAAATTTGAAGAGCCCTGAAAAGTGCATGCATGGCTTCTTCATGAAGGAAGTATTAGAACAATGGCATAAAAATTGTAGACCAGTAGCACAAACATCTCACCTCGTAGAACTCAAATACCCAGTTTTAGGGAAAAGTATGACCTGTACAATCCATGGAGTTAGAGTGGGAGGATCATGCCTATGACAGTTATTAGATGATGATTATTATTATTATAACAAAATCACAGACTTGGAAAGAAAAACCAAAATGTAGATGTAGTCTATCCAAATTTTGCTAAGGCATTTGATGAGTGCAACCATGGAGTGGTAGCCCATAACTATGAGGTTAATAGATATAATGGGAAAAGTGTGAAAATATATATTAAATTTTCTAACAAATAGAATATAGAGTAATAGTAAATACAACAGATGTTTGAGCAAAGTAAAAAGTATAGTACCCCAGTGTACCATTCTGTCACCTTTACTGTTTCTGATATTCATAATGGACATAGATACAAACACCCGTCACAGCTTTGTGTCATCCTTTATGGATTTATATCAAAACGAGCACGAAAGTAGCTTCATTAGAAGACAAGAACTGAATTCATTTAACAAAATCTTTCACTGGGCAGTGAAAAATTACATGATGCATTGTAAGAAATTTCACTTTCTTGGATATGGAAAAACAAGATAAACTCCAAACTAATGCAAGATGTATAAAAAAAGGAAGACTGACTTGTACAACTTTTAAAATGAACATATAAAATTTGGGGGAATAATAATGTCAGTGACCTGTCACTTAGTGAACATGAGAAGGCAACTTCAGCAAAGGCCAGAAAAAATGTCAAGAGTGAAAAATAATGCCAGTGATAGTACAGTACTATTCAGTCATTTGGCCTCTTCTGTATAAATAACAAAAAAGGCACAATACCGTGACTGGAAAGATACACAAATAACCTGCACATAGCAGAGAGGAGCTTACGACAACGTTTTGGTCTGACTTGGACCATTTACAAAGTCACAAAGTATATAACTTCAATCACTTTTGTATGTGTAAGGCATTGTCTGAATGTTACAGTGAGGATGCTGATGGATGCAGTGGAGATATGTTTAAGACTAGTGTATGATGTGAATATTATGTAGTGAATAAGAAGCAGAGAAATTGGAGTAGAGTGTCGTGATTTGCTAGGCATAATTCTGAGAGCAGATAAGGGGTTGTTGAGATGCTTTGGTCATTTGAAAAGAATAGAGCAAAATAGTTTGAACGTAATTTCAGGAATTGGAAAGTACGTGCATGTACTCTGAAGGATCAATGGGGTTGTTGCAGGTCAGTGAGTCATTTGAACTGTGATGTTCATTCACATGGGGATAACTACAGCATAAGTGATTATGAATTTCTTTTTGCAAGTAACCCCTTCTCTTGTATATATTACTAAATGTAAAAGAAGAAACTTTTGTTTTTTCTTTTGGGCCACCCCGCCTCGGTGGGATACTGCCGGTGCATTGAAAGGAGAGAGAATAACTTGTTTCCTTCTTTGGATCACCCTACCTTGGTGGCAAATGACTGATTTGAAAAAAAAAGAACTAGAAGATAAGCAGAGAAGAGAGGGTGTCATGGAGAAATACCAATATGTTATTCTTAAGCTGTACCATCAAAGGATTGATCACAGAATCTTATTCATAGCATCTTCATCGTAGGAAAAAACGTAGTCTGATTAGTTTTTCATGCCAACCTGTGTTTTTGGTGTGACATGGGAAGCACATTCTTTTACACTTGAAAATAGTTATCATTCATACTGTAAGTGCCAATATATTAACCCACTGTTTTGACTGTGTCATGCCGATCCCACATAATTTATAATAGGTTTCATGAGATTGCCAGGTTCAAGATTTTGTAAGCATTTGTTAATGGAGTGGGCATCAACGTTATTGAGTAGCCTCCATTCCCCCCCCCCCCTTTTTTTTTTTTTTAACAACACATCAGTCGTTTCCCACCGAGGCAGAGTGACCCAAAAAGAAAGAAAAATACTTTCATCATTCAACACTTTCACCATCACTCATACATAATCACTGTCTTTGCAGAGGCTCTCAGGTATGACAGTTTAGAAGTCTTTCCAAACTGCCAATATCCCAAACCCCTCCCATAATTATTTGTTAAATTTAAGCGTTGGATTTGTCACGCTGAAAATGTAAATCCATAAACCTTTTTAGTTCATGTACACTAGTGAATTTTAACTCTTGAATTGGGTGTAATGTATACTGTATATACATGCATAATATGTCTGGCTGAGCATCTGAGTAAAAAGTTTTTTTTTTATTTCCTTTTCTTTACTAGATCATCCATCTCCTGCCTAGGGATATGACCCAAGAAAATAAAACACATTCACTATCATCCATTCAGTGGCTGTCTTGCCAGAAATGTGCAGATGTTATAATTCAGAGCACTCGCTGACCTGTAACATCTCCACCCCTCCTTCAGGTTGCAAACACTGAGCCCCCTGAATTCCTGTATTCATGTTACCTTGCTCCCATTCTAGCTGCAATCAAACCTTTAAAATTGCTTCCCTCCTCTCTCTCTCTCCCTCCTCATAAACACAGACATGCACATTTACTCGCTCGCTTCTGCTGGATGCTTATTCTTCAGCCTTAAAACTTCCTACACTCATCCAGTTCTTAAGACGGTCTTTACACCTTCCCCTCTATTCCAGATTTATACACATGTTTTGTCCTCTTCTTTGAAAAAACTGGCCATATCCCACTGAGGCAGGGTGGGCCAAAAGGAAGAACGAAAGTTTCTCCTTTTCAGTTTAGTAATTTATACAGGAAAAGGGGTTACTAGCCCCTTGCTCCTGGCACTTTAGTCTCCTCTTATGACATGCATGGCTCACAGAGGAAGAATTCTGTTCCACTTCCCCATGGAGAACATTTTTTGTCATCTTTTCTAAATGTTTAAACCGCCTCAGCAACCACTCCACTCTGAATTATACCGTTTGTATCCCATACTGTTCTAATTTCTTTGTTCCCAATTCTCTACATAATATTCATGCATTGCTCTCAACCATAGCATCTCCACTGCCTCCATTATATAATAGAGCATATGTAAAACTCATAATACTTTCAGAATAATTTTGTGATCTGTCATTTTGGCCTTCAACTTAGAGCACTTAAATATTTGGTGTGGAGCAGCCTAGTCCTTAGTAGAAAGAAATAATCCTGGCTAATACTGTGCCTTGCCACCCATGTATCATGTAGTCCGCCACTGACACACAAATGTAATATGATAGCAAAAAAAAAAAAGAATAAATATTGTACAAGCAATTTTTATTGAAATATGTTTGTATTGTATAATCGTTTTCGTGCTCATCACAATTTTGTTACCAGGGACTGTAATGCTTCAGTTTGCAGGAACAATGGTAGATGTTTTCAAGAGTAAACTGGTCCCATATTTCCTGTAAATTCCTGATCAGATGGGTTGTGTAATGTGAGATATCGTCCTGGGAACCACTAGGACACTGCCTGGTTGACCAGGTGGTCAACAAGGGAGCCTGGCCTGAGGCTGGACTGTGAGGGGCAGCAGAATCTAAACCAGTCATAGTTATATTTGGTTTTTGATGCTCTACAATCTCGTATGTTTTTTCTTAACAATACAGGGATATTACAGTTACCCAGCACCCTACTTAAAGGTTAAAGAAAAAGTAAAAAGTAGTCTTTCAGTTGGTTGATCCACTGACCAGGATCTGGTTGTTGGTTTTCATGTTGCAAATCTTCGCTCGAGTCTCATTGATACTGTAGTTACCATACACTAACTATATGAAGAATAACACAAATACAATTTATGTTATCCCACCTAGTGCAAAATGTGATGAACTTGTATATTATTCTGTGCATGTGGGCTTT